ACGTCACGACTGCAACAGCGACTCTCGTTTGATAAAGAACAATTTATATTTATTTTTTATATATTTATTTCTTTATTTCTTGGGTCATGTGGTGTGATGATGGCGCTCCTTGACCAGGCTTGGTGCACGCCGGCGGGCGCTCCTTGACCTAGCTTGGTGCACGCGGCGGGCGCTCCTTGACCTGGCTTGGTGCACGCCGGCGGGCGCTCCTTGACCTAGCTTGGTGCACGCCGGCGGGCGCTCCTTGACCTGGCTTGGTGCACGCCGGCGGGCGCTCCTTGACCTGGCTTGGTGCACGCCGGCGGGCGCTCCTTGACCTGGCTTGGTGCACGCCGGCGGGCGCTCCTTGACCTAGCTTGGTGCACGCCGGCGGGCGCTCCTTGACCTGGCTTGGTGCACGCCGGCGGGCGCTCCTTGACCTGGCTTGGTGCACGCCGGCGGGCGCTCCTTGACCTGGCTTGGTGCACGCCGGCGGGCGCTCCTGACCTGGCTTGGTGCACGCCGGCGGGCGCTCCTTGACCTGGCTTGGTGCACGCCGGAGGGCGCTCCTTGACCTGGCTTGGTGCACGCCGGCGGGCGCTCCTTGACCTGGCTTGGTGCACGCCGGCGGGCGCTCCTTGACCTGGCTTGGTGCACGCCGGCGGGCGCTCCTTGACCTGGCTTGGTGCACGCCGGCGGGCGCTCCTTGACCTGGCTTGGTGCACGCCGGCGGGGCGCTCCTTGACCTGGCTTGGTGCACGCCGGCGGGCGCTCCTTGACCTGGCTTGGTGCACGCCGGCGGGCGCTCCTTGACCTGGCTTGGTGCACGCCGGCGGGCGCTCCTTGACCTGGCTTGGTGCACGCCGCGGGCGCTCCTTGACCTGGCTTGGTGCACGCCGGAGGGCGCTCCTTGACCTGGCTTGGTGCACGCCGGCGGGCGCGTCCTTGACCTGGCTTGGTGCACGCCGGCGGGCGCTCCTTGACCTGGCTTGGTGCACGCCGGCGGGCGCTCCTTGACCTGGCTTGGTGCACGCCGGCGGGCGCTCCTTGACCTGGCTGGTGCACGCCGGCGGGCGCTCCTTGACCGGGCTTGGTGCACGCCGGCGGGCGCTCCTTGACTGGCTTGGTGCACGCCGGCGGGCGCTCCTTGACCTGGCTTGGTGCACGCCGGCGGGCGCTCCTTGACCTGGCTTGGTGCACGCCGGCGGGCGCTCCTTGACCGGGCTTGGTGCACGCCGGCGGGCGCTCCTTGACCTGGCTTGGTGCACGCCGGCGGGCGCTCCTTGACCTGGCTTGGTGCAGGCCGGCGGGCGCTCCTTGACCTGGCTTGGTGCAGGCCGGCGGGCGCTCCTTGACCTGGCTTGGTGCAGGCCGGCGGGCGCTCCTTGACCTGGCTTGGTGCACGCCGGCGGGCGCTCCTTGACCTGGCTTGGTGCACGCCGGCGGGCGCTCCTTGACCTGGCTTCGTGCACGCCGTCGGGCGCTCCTTGACCTGGCTTGTTGCACGCCGGCGGGCGCTCCTTGACCGGGCTTGGTGCTGGCCGGCGGGCGCTCCTCCTGACCTGGCTTGGTGGAGGCCGGCGGGCGCTCCTTGACCGGGCTTGGTGCAGGCCGGCGGGCGCTCCTTGATCTGGCTTCGTGCACGCCGGCGGGCGCTCCTTGACCTGGCTTGGTGCACGCCGGCGGGCGCTCCTTGACCGGGCTTGGTGCAGGCCGGCGGGCGCTCCTTGACCGGGCTTTGGTGCAGGCCGGCGGGCGCTCCCTGGCCGGGCTTGGTGCAGGCCGGCGGGCGCTCCCTGGCGCTCCTTGACCGGGCTTGGTGCAGGCCGGCGGGCGCTCCCTGGCCGGCTTGGTGCAGGCCGGCGGGCGCTCCCTGGCGCTCCTTGACCGGGCTTGGTGCAGGCCGGCGGGCGCTCCCTGGCGCTCCTTGACCGGGCTTGGTGCAGGCCGGCGGGCGCTCCCTGGCCGGGCTTGGTGCAGGCCGGCGGGCGCTCCATGGCGCTCCTTGACCGGGCTTGGTGCAGGCCGGCGGGCGCTCCTGGCCGGGCTTGGTGCACGCCGGCGGGCGCTCCTTGACCTGGCTTGGTGCACGCCGGCGGGCGCTCCTGACCTGGCTTGGTGCACGCCGGCGGGCGCTCCTTGACCTGGCTTGGTGCACGCCGGCGGGCGCTCCTTGACCTGGCTTGGTGCACGCCGGCGGGCGCTCCTTGACCTGGCTTGGTGCACGCCGGAGGGCGCTCCTTGACCTGGCTTGGTGCACGCTGGCGGGCGCTCCTTGACCTGGCTTGGTGCACGCCGGCGGGCGATCCTTGACCTGGCTTGGTGCACGCCGGCGGGCGCTCCTTGACCTGGCTTGGTGCACGCCGGCGGGCGCTCCTTGACCTGGCTTGGTGCACGCCGGCGGGCGCTCGCTTGACCTGGCTTGGTGCACGCCGGCGGGCGCTCCTTGACCTGGCTTGGTGCACGCCGGCGGGCGCTCCTTGACCTGGCTTGGTGCACGCCGGCGGGCGCTCCTTGACCGGGCTTGGTGCACGCCGGCGGGCGCTCCTTGACCTGGCTTGGTGCACGCCGGCGGGCGCTCCTTGACCTGGCTTGGTGCAGGCCGGCGGGCGCTCCTTGACCGGGCTTGGTGCAGGCCGGCGGGCGCTCCTTGACCTGGCTTGGTGCAGGCCGGCGGGCGCTCCTTGATCTGGCTTGGTGCAGGCCGGCGGGCGCTCCTTGACCTGGCTTGGTGCACGCCGGCGGGCGCTCCTTGACCTGGCTTCGTGCACGCCGTCGGGCGCTCCTTGACCTGGCTTGTTGCACGCCGGCGGGCGCTCCTTGACCGGGCTTGGTGCGGCCGGCGGGCGCTCCTTGACCTGGCTTGGTGGAGGCCGGCGGGCGCTCCTTGACCGGGCTTGGTGCAGGCCGGCGGGCGCTCCTTGATCTGGCTTCGTGCACGCCGGCGGGCGCTCCTTGACCTGGCTTCGTGCACGCCGGCGGGCGCTCCTTGACCGGGCTTGGTGCAGGCCGGCGGGCGCTCCTTGACCGGGCTTGGTGCAGGCCGGCGGGCGCTCCCTGGCCGGGCTTTGTGCAGGCCGGCGGGCGCTCCCTGGCGCTCCTGACCGGGCTTGGTGCAGGCCGGCGGGCGCTCCCTGGCCGGGCTTGGTGCAGGCCGGCGGGCGCTCCCTGGCGCTCCTTGACCGGGCTTGGTGCAGGCCGGCGGGCGCTCCCTGGCGCTCCTTGACCGGGCTTGGTGCAGGCCGGCGGGTGCTCCCTGGCCGGGCTTGGTGCAGGCCGGCGGGCGCTCCCTGGCGCTCCTTGACCGGGCTTGGTGCAGGCCGGCGGGCGCTCCCTGGCCGGGCTTGGTGCAGGCTGGCGGGCGCTCCCTGGCGCTCCTTGACCGGGCTTGGTGCAGGCCGGCGGGCGCTCCCTGGCACTCCTTGACCGGGCTTGGTGCACGCCGGCGGGCGCTCCCTGGCGCTCCTTGACCGGGCTTGGTGCAGGCCGGCGGGCGCTCCTTGACCTGGCTTGGTGCAGGCCGGCGGGCGCTCCTTGACGGGCTTGGTGCACGCCGGCGGGCGCTCCTTGACCTGGCTTGGTGCACGCGGGCAGGCGCTCCTTGACCGGGCTTGGGCAGGCCGGCGGGCGCTCCTTGTCCGGGCTTGGTGCAGCGCCGGCGGGCGCTCCTTGACCTGGCTTGGTGCACGCCGGCGGGCGCTCCTTGACCGGGCTTGGTGCAGGCCGGCGGGCGCTCCCTGGCGCTCCTGACCGGGCTTGGTGCAGGCCGGCGGGCGCTCCTTGTGCTCCTTGACCTGACAACAGTGACGTGTTGGGCCCAACAACCCTTTACGGAAAACCGTTTTGTGGACGATGTTCTGAACGATTTGAAGTCTTACCAAGTTACGGTCTTCCTCCCACACACTTACCAAGCCCCTGTTAACTCTCTCAAGCCCCTACCAACCCCCTGGTAAACTCTCCAAGCCCCTACCAACCCCCTGTTAACTCTCTCCAAGCCCCTACCAACCCCCTGTTAACTCTCTCCAAGCCCCTACCAACCCCCTGTTAACTCTCTCCAAGCCCCTACCAACCCCCTGTTAACTCTCTCCAAGCCCCTACCAACCCCCTGTTAAACTCTCTCCAAGCCCCTACCAACCCTGTTAAACTCTCTCCAAAGCCCCTACCAACCCCCCTGTTAAACTCTCTCCAAGCCCCTACCAACCCCCTGTTAAACTCTCCAAGCCCCTACCAACCCCCCTGTTAAACTCTCTCCAAGCCCCTACCAACCCCCTGTTAAACTCTCCAAGCCCCTACCAACCCCCTGTTAAACTCTCTCCAAGCCCTACCAACCCCCTGTTAAACTCTCTCCAAGCCCCTACCAACCCCCCTGTTAAACTCTCTCCAAGCCCCTACCAACCCCCCTGTTAAACTCTCTCCAAGCCCTACCAACCCCCTGTTAAACTCTCTCTCCAAGCCCCTACCAACCCCCTGTTAAACTCTCTCCAAACCCCCTACCAAACCCCCTGTTAAACTCTCTCTCCAGCCCCTACCAACCCCCTGTTAAACTCTCTCCAAGCCCCTACCAACCCCCTGTTAAACTCTCTCCAAGCCCCTACAACCCCCTGTTAAACTCTCTCCAAGCCCCTACCAACCCCCTGTTAAACTCTCTCCAAGCCCCTACCACCCCCTGTTAACTCTCTCCAAGCCCCTACCAACCCCTGTTAAACTCTCTCCAAGCCCCTACCAACCCCCCTGTTAAACTCTCTCCAAGCCCCTACCCACCCCCTGTTAAACTCTCTCCAAGCCCCTACCAACCCCTGTTAAACTCTCTCCAAGCCCCTACCAACCCCCTGTTAAACTCTCTCCAAGCCCTACCAACCCCTGTAAACTCTCTCCAAGCCCCTACCAAACCCCTGTTAACTCTCTCCAAGCCCCTACCAACCCCCTGTTAACTCTCTCTCCAAGCCCCTACCAACCCCCTGTTAAACTCTCTCCAAGCCCCTACCAACCCCCTGTTAAACTCTCTCTCCAAGCCCCTACCA